GGACAATATTCTTAAATCTTTTGAAAGTTTCTTGAAGTCGAAAAATTCATTGGGAATTACTAAATAAGGTTGACGTTTTCTGGCGAATCAAAAAACCGGATAGAGTTATGAGGGTTCAAAAAGATCTCCAACTCCCGTTATCACAGTATGAATGCACTGTGAGCAGATTCTCCCTCACTTTGGCCGTGATTTCACCACCGAGGAGCGTATACTAACAAGGATTATTGGACACTAAGGGACTTATCTTCATTTAGGTCTCTTCGTGTGAATCATAAATTTACCTTTGCAGATAAGACACCCAGGGGCTAACGGTGTGTTGCCCACACTAATATATATATATAGTCATGCTTCTTCGTCAGATTAACCAGCATGGAGTAATACACCTATATGCGGGTTATCTCAATTTTTGGTATTTTGTCAGTTAGAACACTTCGTGAGAAAGGCGACGATTTGTAGGATATCTGAAGACGAAGTGGTGAGTTAACCTTGACATGAAATGATATTTATGAACAGCCGGGAACATACTATTTCGGTACAAATGGACGCATTAACAAAATTTGTTTGATAAACAAATCTTTCCCTATGAAACATTCTATTCGACCTCGCTCAAGAATTGACCCCTAATTTCATATTATTCACCATCCAAATTTGACGTTAATGATTCTAACACAAAGAGCTATCTTCTAACAGTGGTTAAGTGAGCAGCAAAATTGGATGGACAGGGTAGTGCCAGCTACTCAGTCCAACAGGATACTTCCAGCACAACAGTAGTACTTCAGAAGAAGGGTACATTCCCACTAGTTTTTCAGTTCATATGGGAAATGTAACAAAAGAAATTGTAGATACCAGGAAAGTTGAAAATTTATTTTACTTATTAATCTATTTTATTTATTTATTTATTGTGTACAGCACCCAACAGTAGCTAGTGCCAGTTATAGGGTGGTCAACATGTATATACATACATGGACAAAATGTATATAGATCTGGACAGAAACCAAATGGAAATTTTTTTCTGTATCATAAAGGTGCAAAATTCCAGAATAATCTACTTTTTTATAATTCACTGCGCTTGGGAAAACCTGGACACAACTTCAAAATCACTCAGATACTTCTTGTTTAGCCTTTAACTTGGTATCACATGCGATTTTTTCAAATATAATATGATTAACATATTACATAAAAATAATAAGCCAAAAGTATAACAAAAAATATCAAACCAATATCAACATAAAAGCCGTCAGTCAGCCTTAATGAAGGTAATTTTTTTTAAGTTGGCACCTAATTTAGCATTTCTTTTTATAATAGGGCGTACTGATCCTATAAATTGCAATCAGTCTTTATACGTTACTTAGTAAGGGTAGTTAGTATACACGCCGCGACCTCTCAGAATAAAAGAGTCATCACAAGCTGCATATTTATCTCAATTACATTAATATAGAAGTTAAAGATGTTCATATTTATTATGAATATTACTTCACTAAAGTTATGTATCCATACACTCTCCTAAAGTTTATTAAAATATAGATACGATGGATAATATGCAAAATAACTGACCATACGTTACAGGATTACTTATTGAATGGCTACAATATGCGGACAAATGTGTGAGTATTACTCGTAGTAGCTTACTTTTCTTATGGTGATGGTGCAATTTGATCATTAAGTGGATGAGCACTTGCACACCATTTGTTATATTATACCGTAAGATGTAGTAATAATGCAGGAGTAATAAGATTTGAGATATGCTAATAATATCTGAATCAAGCATCGTTGATCATTTCTAGAAGCTTCTCATAAGAGTAAGCTGTCATTAGTGACTGTTTCTTTATTTGTGGTAAGTGTGTGGTTCAGAAATTGGAGCGAATCGGCGAATGAGAGGCTTATAAAGCATTTGGAATTTGCTTTTTATTTAGAGCATCCACATACCAATGGAAATCTTTTTCTATAATTAAGGCATTTTAAACACGCTTTTATCAAATTGACCAATTTTCACCAATTTCAAGAAGTCTCAATAATTTGAAAATTTGCACGGGAGCCAAAAGCCGATAATAATCTCAAATTTGAATATTCTTAAAAAAATATGATTTTGAAATTTGGAAATAATCGGATTTGAAAATTTCTAAAATTTGGAAAATTATTTGAAGATTTGTAGATTTATTCCAAAATTTAAAAATTTAAGAAAATGGAAATTTTGAAAGTATATTTCGAATTATTGTCAAATATAAGATACACCAAAAATTGAGCTCATGCAACTTTTGTTGTCGTTCTGAGAAAGTAAATTCAGAAAATAAATTATGGTTTAAAAAACTAAGAAAGCATGCTTTAATAGCAAACCGAACTCTGAAGTAGATAACAATTTTCAACTATAGGAGAGTTTGTGTTACTGCAAAAAGAAAGTCCAACAATCAAGTGAAAATAATTAATTTCGAATAACAACAATATGAAAATTAAGATATCTTAAAAATCCAATTACAGTAAGAAAGCGTGGGGCTTAATATTAAATGTTAGAATGATTGTTTTAGCTGTTATTTACTAAATTTATTATAAAGATATAGTTAATTGCATCTCACGCTTTTTATAATAATTGATTGTTAATATCTTAATTTTTATATTGATCTTACTCCAACTTAATTAGTCATACTTGATTGTTGGACTATCTCTTGCAGAAACACAAATTCCTCTATACTTGATAATTATATTCTGCTGTTTAGCTCGATTTTCGTGTTTTTTATTTATTTTTTTCTTAGTATTTGAACTACTTACTTATAATTTATTTTTAGAATGCTTTAGGCCAAACGACAACAAAAATATCTACTTATAAACAAGAGCTTCGTTTTTTGGTATATTTTATATTTCAAATTAAATCTAGATCTTCTAATTTTTTCAAATTACGAAATTTCTAAAGTTTTTGAATTATCTATTTTTTCAAAATTTCATTATTAAAATTTCAAAAAATCTCCATATTCGAATTTTTTACAAAATTACTGAACTTTCTCCGACCCTATGGGGTCACCCTATGCATATTTTCAAGTTAATCAGACTCTTGAAATTGGTGGGAATTAGGTTGAAAGATTTCGTTACATACCCACATATATACAGGACAAGCTAATACTTAATGGCAATGGCTGATATAATATCTAATAATTTCGGCCTGGATATCTCATATAATTAACAAAAAAAAAGTCCAAATTCTCGAAATGGGTCATAATATGTACATGCTGCGTAATAAACTGTGGGGCAAAACAGGACAATGGACAGCAACATGCAAATAAGACTAAAGAAATAAATAGACAGGCGATGTAAAGAGGAAAAATTGCACAATGTAACCAGATATGATATTAATGAATATATTTTATTTTTATGTGCCAAAATTATAAATCATTTTATCTAGAAGTGAAAATAAACATTAAAATAATTATGATAGGCCAACGTGAAGCAACTCAAAATCGCAAGTTCATTAAGATATAAACACTTAATGATGTTTTGTGGGAAATTTGTGTCATACCTACGAGTAGATGTTTTTGTTTTATGTTCAGAGCTCTTATTAAGTCTGTTCGTCCGAGAGTCTTCAACCTACCCAGGGATTTATTGAACGTCCAAGGCACTAATAATTCCTGGCCGTATTTGACATTTGAGCAGGCGAAGTAAAACAAAAATAAGAATTGGAATTAATAAATGTATTACAGGACGCTTAAAATCGTGGCACAGCCAAGACTGTTTTCTTTTTTTTGTGCGAATAAACTTACTTTTTATGGTAGTCTTCTTTGTCATTTTCTCGCTATTATTTTGTACTGTTCGCTGATTATAAGTTTAATTTGTGTAAATCATGGATGCTTTGGCCGTAATATTCAAACCAAAAAGACTGATATTTACCTACAACGAGTTGCAAAACACGAAAGGGTACAAAAACAATAGCAAAACTTTATAATTATTAAGATTATTGGAATTAAATCAGTCTTGATACACTTTATACAAGATAAAATCATATTTTATCACAATATTTTTAGGTTAGAAATTTTGTCATCCGTGCACGGAAGAGCACCCAACACCAATAACTAGAATTCTAAGATCAGTCTCTACTTGTCATTATTAATGTAAGGTCTGTATTCATAGTGGATGGCAGTATTTCAATAACTCCCTAATAACCCCAATTGTCAAACAATTTTAAGTCTGTACTTGTCATTATTAGTGTAAGGTCGGTATTAGTAGTGGATGGCAGTATTTCAATAACTCCCTATTATCACATTCATTTTTTGTTCAAGTACGCAAATTACTTAGTCGAATATGCATCTCTGCTTTTTTAAGTATTTTCCTTTGATTTTATGCAGGGGCGGATCTAGAAAATATTTTGAGTGAGGATCCATATAATGACTGAAACTTTTTGGGGTCAATCAGGATTTATGTACAGAAAGATACCCCTCTCGGGGAATCGGCTATTAAAAATTGAAGAGCTGGGAGGGGAGTCGTCTACAAATTGAAAAACACGTTTAAGATTTTCTTAACTTGAAAATTTCGGGCGGGGGGTCACGACCCCCAGGATACCCCCTAGATCAGCCAGTGGCTTAATTTGATTTCAATAAACTACCACCCGAAGATTACAACACCTAGATGCCAGGAACTGAGAAGTTCCAAGTCTCGAATAATTATGGTCTCTAGGTGGCGGTGTCATCACACACACACAGCTCATAGCAAGTTAAGCATACAGCGTATTCCTCATTTAAGTTCTGAAATTTTTGGATTTACCTTCTGTATTATCCCTTTCGATAGTAACGGGTTATATAGATCCCAGCAAAAATTCCTTCATCTAATTACGCATTATTAATAACAGTAAATGCATTCAGATTACTGTAGGGACATATATGTCCCATACCGATGTTTTTAAATACTATTGGGTGCTATGTCAATTTAAAACGTATTCTGCATTGTCCCAGTCGTAAGGTGGGTTTTGTCTTAGATACTATTAACAGCAAATTATATTTTGAGGTTAGGCTGTAGCACTATTCTGCAATTTGTAAACAAATGCACTTGTGTCTCCTCTTTGCTTGTGAGTTTTTGGCTTCAAGTTCGTTCAAATGTGATTAAACAACATGGACAGGTAAGTAGTTATCTATATTTAGGAGTATGCATAATTGTTTAAAATTATCCAAAGAAATATATCGATTTTTTATGGGTGGGACTTATATGTTCCAACAGTAATGTATAGTCAGTAGTTAGTATAGTGTAGGTATAGTTAGTATAATAATCAAATTATACGCATTTGTAATGAGATCGCAATGCAGTCCCCAGCAAATCCCATATGAATACCTACGTTTGGAATATTTATGATATTACAAATTGATATCATTTTTACTACAATCGTTACTATTTTTGCATAGGTCTCATTTCATCTTTTTATTTTCTAGAAAAAGAGCGTTAACTGCTAAAGAACTTGAGGAAATTGCGCGGAAAATAAATGAGTATGGGTTGACTGACGATTCGGATGTTGAAGAAGCTTTTCAAGACTCCGGTTCCGAGAATAAGTCAGAATCGGATATTTCATCTGAAAGTGATCTGGAGCTTCCGGTCCGTCGTATTACACGTAAACGCAAAAGGAACAACCAACAGAAAGCTGAAAACGATTTGCCTGATGATGAAATTCTTAGCGTAGAGCCTAATTTAGCGTCAGATCTTGAGGAGATTGAGGTAGAGCCTAACCCCATCAGTAAGAAGAATATTCACTGGAGCACTAGTGGATCTTCATTTATTCCGTCAAAGAGTGTAGAACCTACCGCGCATGTTACACGTATTTCACATGCAGATATTACTCATAAATCATCTGAACTCGAGTATTTTTTGAAATTAGTTCCCAGAAGTTTATTTATTTTTATGGCTGAATGTACTAACGTAAGGCTAAGCAACTTACAAGAGAAGACAAAAAAGCAATATCTTCCCACCGATTATCACGAAATGGTGTTGGTAATTGGTTGTTATTTTGTCATGGCGTACAACAAAGTACCACCTTTGTCAAATTATTGGTCATCACTTGGAAATGAGGCTATTAAGAATGCCATCTCTAGAGACAGATTTTTTCTTCTTACATCAAAAATGTATTATAACCATCCTAAAAAAATCAGAAAATTCAGACAAACTCTATTACATTTCTGAAGTTATATCGTGTCTCAAACATACATTTCCAAACGCTCGAACTGACAGTAGTTTTCAAAGTATAAATGAGTCAATGGTGAAATTTAAAGGTCGTTCCTCGCTGAAACAATATCTTCCTTTAAAACCAATAAAGAGAGGTATTAAGATTTGGGAGAGATGCGATTCTGACACTGGATATGTATATATGATATGAACATGTATGCTGGGAATGACGAGCAGCAAAAAGAAGGAACATTAGGAGAAAGAGTGGTAAACAAGTTATGCAGCTCTGTAAATGATCCAAACGTGATGTTGTGTTTTGATCATTTTTTTACGACTGTGAATTTAATTGCTAATTTATATTTTGCTGCTGTTGGGACATGTATGTCAAATAAAAAAACCTGTCACAGTTTGACAAGAAAAAAATGGGAAAAGGAGATTGCCAAACATTATTTAGTGATCAGGGTGTTATCGCACATCTATAGAAAGATTCTAAAGAGGTTTTGATTCTTTCAAACTGTCACAAAGACGAAATGGGATCTGTAGAGAGACGTCAAAAAGACGGAACCAAAATAAACGTGCCCTGTCCGGAAGCTATAAAAGCATATAACAGATTTATGGGTGGTGTTGATCTTTTAGATCAAATGTCTAGCTTATAGTAAATTGATCGGAAGTCTCAAAAATGATGGAGAAAAACATTTTACAAGCTACTGTTAACATCAGCCTCAAATGCATGGATAGTATTCAAAGAAGCTCATAAGCGTGATGTTCCGTTTATTACATTTTTAGTAAACCTAGCAGAAGATTTGATAATCACAGGTCGACCAAAAGCAGGTGTTGTTAGAAAACGCTGTAGCGGCAGACCTTCAAGTTCATCAATAAATCTCGTAAACGTAGGAGATCATTTGCCGTTTCTAGGAAAATCTCGTCGTAGATGTCATTCATGTACTTCTCGAAAAGTGGGAAAAAGAACAAAAACTATGTGTTCAGGATGTAAGCTTCCCTTGTGCAATGACTGTTTCCAATCCTGTCACACTTAAATGTTAGAAGTTTATTATTTTCATTCAAGTTTTTTAACTATAAGTATTTTTGTTATCTAATATTGGGACATTTGTATCCATTTTTTCCGTACTGTTGGGACAAATGTGTCCCATTTGGTATTTTTTTGTTTATTACTTAAAAAAGAAAAAAATGTTTTCTATTATTTAATCCATTGATATTTGTTATGTAGATAAAGTATTTTGCACGTACATTAGAAAAAAAAAGAAAAATCGTATTTTGAATGAGGAATTTTGCTGGGACCCATTCGTGCCAACCGTAAAATTACATTCTTCTTGTTCAAAATAAAGTCGTATTGAAAGGGTTGTGGGGTATAGATATTCTAAAAATTCGTCTTCTATGAAATTTTTCTATCTGATCGTGTTTGGCATGATTTTTATGCCTGAGTTTGTGGTTGGGTTCAAGTTATTACCTCGCATTCGACGTATAACAAACGGCAAAGGCCGACAGCACGCGGCGTCGTGATCGAAAGCGCCGCGACGCCTAACCAGCATCGAGTCGCTGTGGCGTCGTGCGGCGCGGTGGGGCGGGGACGGTGAAGCGGCGTGACGGCAACGTAGCGAGACGCGCGGCAGCTGGGCGTGGCCTCCGCCTGTCCCGAGCCACCAAACCTGAGGATCAATTCTACTTATTTAATACAGCCTTCGTATTAGAAGCGTGTATATAGTTAGGAATCCACTGTAAACCGATTTGCGCTTAACTCCCGGTTTTATCTGCGCTAAGTACCCGGGCTTAACTCGCTGCTGCTGCCTCCGAGTATTGTGACGCCGATGACGCTGTGCCGCCGACGACGCCACGCGTCACGCTTTTCATGTTTGACTAAGTGAACAAATAGATATGGAGTGATATAGATATATTGACTTTTTGGTGCGAATCGCGGTCTTCCGACGGACCTACTGCCTTCCACGGCCGCCATTGTTTGTGTTTGTGTTGCAGGTAAGTGGTATTTTTTATTAAAATCGAAAAATATTTTCAGTTTTCCGAATCTCGCAGTTTTTAAACGTAAACAAGAATTTAAAAATCTCTTGATGTATTAAAGGATTTATCTTGTTAGTTTTTGAAAAAGATTTACCTAGAAGAAACAAGAAATGTATAGGTATTCACAATGCAAGTCTCCGAAATTCACTCTTGTAAATTACAGAGCTCTTTCAACGACTCGAGGACCATTTCTTATTCATCGTTTTATTTTATTTATAAGATTGTCGCCACAATTTGCTAAAGAAGTGCAATGTAGTATAGTACTTTCATTTTAACTTAAGTTGTACAAAAGTTCTTTTATTGAAAGGGACAAAATTTATAATTTTTAGAAAACCAACAGCTGCTAAATTTTTTGTCGAAATACGACTGCACGATGTGTCATCTATTACCAGAATGCGAGAGTATTTCGTTTTCGTTCGTTATTCTGGCCAGAGATCTCGCTTAGACCGTTCTGTTCATTGCCAATAGGAACGAAACAGCTGCACAATGTTGGCCCCCTGTTGGTCGGATTTTCAAAATCCTTATTATTAGCCCTGAAAATTTGCTCCATGTCTGTTAAACCTTCCTGTATTATAATCTGCAAATTTGTTGTAATTCTGATTATTGATATTCGATTTCTAATAAATAAGATCACTGAGAGTATTTTACAAAAGAATATTTCACCCGAAAATATCTGTGACTTTCAAGTTTTCATGCTTGAAGCTATTTTTATTGTTAAATGTATGATCAACTTTGCTTGTCGATTCTAATATTTTGTTGTTGATTATTGAATACATTGACAGTTAGCTACCACGACGTATAGTTTACTTGTAAGATTGAATCACCAACTCACATCGGGCAATAACTATTAGTAATGAAACAGAATGTATTATCATCACTGATCGGCTATGGAACTACTTCAAAAAAGTAGCATCAGTTATTAACACTCTTTGCTCAGCCTCCACTTTGCGGGACCAACCAATTCCGCCTTGATCATGATGTTTTCATTGCAATGAGATGAAAGCACATATCCATCGGTTTTGCCTGTAAGCTTTCAAAGTTAGGGCTTTCCCTCACACATCATATACATAATTATAGTCGTGAAAATAAGATAACATTCCCTGAAACGCATATACATTCCCAAGACAAGATATCTAAGGTATTAGGTTCAAAGAATTTTTCAAAACGTATTTAGAGAACTCATTTTCGAACAGTCTTTAACATAAGTTTATATCGCGCGTCTACGTATACACGTATGTGTGTATATTAATGTTTGTGTATATGACTGCATACAGTGAGGTTCAAATTTGGCTGACGTCGTAAAGTGTACGAGAGAGAAGCGCGAGAAGCATGCAATATGTATGTTAAGAAGAGTGTGCCGATGGCATCCGTGACCTCTTACTGGGCTGCTAGGCAATGGGGAGCTTCTGTCTCTTTCTAACACACGTCTTGCACGCTTCTCTAGCTTCTCTCTCATACACATTACGACGTCAGTGCTATTTGGTCTTCAGTGTATATATGTGTACATTATACTTTTTCCCTCTTATCCAATGCAGTAATTTATTTTACTCGATTAATTTGTTTTTATGTTGAAACCTCTGCATTTTTATTGGTATATATTGTTTTTATTGTTTATTTTGTCTATTGTCATCTTACGGGTTAAATGCTAAATTTCGCCTAATAGAGACATTATTATTATAGTTGGACCAGCGAAAGATTGCAAGCCGAAAGAATGCGGACAAAAAATTGCGAAGTTGTCAGATGTTCTACATAAAATGCGGTCCATACATATTAACATATTTAAGATATAGAATTGTTCCGCTGAATTTGGCAATGTAGCTGGAAAACCCAGGCCGCAGGTAAACATCCGGTCGCTGATTGGTCCAAAACTCTTATCTTATCTGAAACTAGAATAACGTGCCGATGGCACGGTCATTTATAAACCTACTCCCATAGGCGTAGGCAGTTGGCAAATACTTTGAAAATATAATTTACTGTTTAGTGGTGATAATGGAATTCAAGCATGGGAAAGTTATTCACAGCCAGGCAAGGGAAATAATAGCAAACGTGATACGTGCTTGCGATGCAGAAGCGGCTAACAATACTTTCGTTTATCCACTGGTAGCTAGAAATGCAAGGGCGGCATATTATACGGGTGTTAGTGAACGAACTATAAGTAAAATTAGAAAAGAAGATAAAGACAGGCAAAATGCAACCTCCACACAGCCTTTAGCTTCTCCCGGAAAAAAGAGATCACGCCCTTCTGTGATCCAAAAAATTGATGGAGTCGATTTTTCCATTATTCGGAGAATGATAGAAAAATTTTACTGTGATTTTAAAGTGGTACCTACTTGTAGTAAACTTCTAATCAAACTGAAGGAAGAAATGGAATTTCCATTTGGTAAAGAATCGTTGAGGCTGCTTTTAAAAGCAAAAGGATTTTACTGGCGTAAATGCCACAACAAAAGGAAATTACTAATGGAAAGACCCAGTATTTTACATTGGCGATACAAGTATCTTAGGTCTATTAAAAAGTTCCGGGAAGAAGGAAGGCATATTATTTATTTGGACGAAACTTGGGTTGATAATGACCTCACTTTCAAGAAATGCTGGCAAAGCGAAGAAATTATGGGTGTCCTGAGCAATATAAGTTCTACAGGTAATAAAGTTTCTTTCACCTCGATTTTGCTTATTATACATTTTTCTCAATTTTGGAATATTCTTAATAAGTGCTCATTTAATTTGTCTAATTGAATACATAATCCCTTGCAAGTATTTTTTTCTCAAAAATATGTTTTTTATACATAGTGATTCAAAAAGGTGTTGGCAAACTTAAAATAACACTAAAATGAGGCTATTTATTCATTTCCAGGACGACTTATAATTGTTCATGCGGGTTCGCAAGATGGTTTTGTTCCTGGAGCCTGTCTCATTTTCAAGGCTGGCTGTGCCACTGGTGATTATCACGGTCAAATGAACCAAGAAAATTTCACGAAGTGGCTTACTGAAAAACTATTTCCTAACATTCCTCCTAATAGTATTATAATAATGGATAATGCACCTTACCATTCAGCTTTGGAAGACAAGCCTCCAACTAGATCTTCTCTAAAAAGAGACATCATCACGTGGTTGAGCAAAAAAGGTATAGAGCATGATCCTAATGCTAAAAAAATGGAGCTTTATGAAATAGCTTGTCTACATAGGCCACCATCTGATGAGAAAAATTATAAGATAGATAATTTAATAAGAAGTTTCGGACACACCCCACTTCGAACGCCACCCTATATGTGTCAGTTTAATCCCATAGAGATGATTTGGGCACAAGTAAAATTTTTCATTAGAAGCCATAATACAAGCGGCGAATTTACTATAAAAAAACTAGATGAAATTTCTAATAAGGCCATCGCTTCAGTAAGTGCCAGTGACTGGCAAAAGGTTATTGGACATGTTATAAAAATTGAAGATGAATATTGGGAAAAAGACAGTCTCATTCAAGAAATACAGGAAGAAATAATAATCAACATAGGAGGTGAAAGTGATAGCAATGACAGTTCCTCAGACAGTGATCATGACTCTAATCAGGATTGAAACTATACTAGATTGGCTACCTTTTAGAATTTTTAGATATTCATTTATTATACTATTGGTTTGTGGCTTTTAGTATCTCAGTAGAAAGTCTAATTCTATGTGTTGTTTATGGGTTATTTCATCAAGAAATTACTTTTTGTTTTCCTATATTTTTCTATTCAGTCAGATATTTTTGACTTGTTGTATTCTATTTTAGAAGAATGCATAATTTGTTTTGCTGTTCAATCATAATGCGTACATAGGAATATTACTTGTTGCCTAAAAAATATATTTATTTTGTTCTCAATATTCAGTGTTTGTGTATATTTATTTCTTATAATGTATGTTTGGTATCACGTCATTATGAATCGCAAAAAAATATTAATACTACCAGTTGTAATAAAATATAAATTCAATTAATAATTCAAGTCTCTCCGATCTCCGCCTATGACTCCATATAAAATCGTCTAATGGTAAGGTTTTTTCATCGCATTTCCCCCTTTCGTCCCTAGCAATCTTTGGCTGGTCGATCAATATTATTATCGATAATATTGATCAGTGATCATTTGAAAAACCGAAAATGGCACGCTCCTATGGCTATAACGGAGTTGTCGATGTGGTGTTAGTTACGGCGAGTGTTTTCAATAAGATGGTGAGGCTCTGCGAATATATCCAGATCATTTTCTGGAAAGTCTCCAACCTCTGGCGCATATCTTAGTTTATCCCGTACAGCTAGGAATACACGTCGTTTGCATGACCTGAATATTGCACACGTAAAGCAAAGGCTTTTGGAACCGAACAGTATTTATGAGCATTATAGACATAGCGGTATTTAGACTGCCTGCCTGTTGGTCTTTCTGCCTACCGGTCTGTCTGTTCGCTGGTCCTTGGCCCCTTTATACCTTGCAAAGTACCGTTCAGATTTTGATGAAATTTTTGAAACTATGTGACTACTATGCCTTGGAGAAAAAAGCTTTGTAGGTTTAGAAAGTCGATCCAGTGACTGTGTAAAAAAATGTGTAAGGGTTGTAGGAGGTAGGGAGTCGTACATGTTGCAGTTTTGGTATAAGTGACAATCTATATTATTAAAAAGCTTCTGATCTCGAAAACACCCAATCCAAAAAACTAAAACGCTGACAAGCTCAAATCACGCCACTAGTATGATGTAGTATGATTACCCCTACATGTTTCGAGTTTATACCCTCGCCTAGGCGGAAAGGGTCTGTACCTGTATAGCTGTGTATACCTCCGCACCCGCCATAGGCGTGCGGCGTAAATCCCAGCGGCGGCCCTAGGAATATTTGACAAATTGCTTCTTGTTCTTCTGTGATAAGTTTAACGTGGCTTTAGCATCCTAGAATAATATCGACGCGGCCTATATTACTGGTATTGTATTAGCGAAAGACTTTCTC